AAGGAAAAATGAAAATAGAATGTAGAACACTAATCCCAAAATAAAATAAAGAAAAAATAAAATGAAACTTTTAAAAAATGTAAAATAATACTAGTAATAATACTAATTAAAAAATAATATAATAATTAAAAAGTAAAATCAAGTGAGATAAAAAGAAAAAATTTAGTTTCTTAAGTAAAAGATAAAAAATAAAAATGTGCAGTAGTGAAGGTCACTCACTTCCTCTACTGTTCTGCTCTGCAGGCCTGTTTCTTGTCAGGTGATCAAGACAGTTTTAAAGTTCCCTGCGTTCCACCACTCCTCTGTTTCTTAAGCCACAATCCTGTTTTCAAGCCGGCGATATTTCTTTGTTTCTCAGCCTGCCTCTAGTGGTATTTACACAAGAGACAATTTGTGATTCAACCCCTGGGTGGCAGTGTTTCTGTATTGACATCTGGTATCTCTACCCAGTATTTAGATGTTGTTTTTCCTGCCACCCTTAATACTGGGTTGGGGAAATTGACTTCCCCAGAGCTGATTTCAGATCTTTTCTCCCCACTCTGATCCCCAGGCTCCACAAAATCAACTTTTCCCTGCAGTCTCAGAGAGTGTTTTTAATTGGGAGATTCTTTGTACTGGACTTATGCATCAAAAGCAAGGGCACGAACTCATTACTTTTTCCTCCGGCACTGTGCATGACTATGCGCACATTTCTGTGCACATCTTTTCCTCCTGGCACTGCACAGCCTGTATACTGGTAGAACTCCAGGCTGCCTTTCTGTGCCCAGCCCAGCCATCGTTTGGTTTCTAGAGTTCTTTCCTGTCAGCAGCCCTGTAGACCTCCTTCCACATTCATGAGCTATGCTGACCCCAACGTGGATTTTGTGTGGTGCAGACTTCTGAAACTCTAGATCCTGCTGCCTGCATTTCTCCCTCCAGCCTGGATCGCAGACCTCACCTTTCTTTAGGTGTTACCTGACTTCCGTGAAAAGATGCAGGGCTCATCTGAGTCTGCCAATTTGTGCTGTTTAAGACCTGGTATTCATGGATTCTCAGCTGGTCCCTGGGTATTATGGTTGCAGAGTCCTGGGAGATATCCGAGTTCTTCCTGGTTGAAGATAGGGCTAGACTTTCAATCACAGCCTCTCTCCCCTTCAAGATGGCACCATCTCTGCAGTAGAGCTAGCTGCTGGGAGAGATTTCAGCAGCCATGGAGACTGCCCAGTCAGGGGAGCCTGGTCCGGCAGTCCCCAAGAGTCCCTTGGAATATCGCTATCCCTCACTCACAAATAGACAGTCCCTGTACGTCCACACACTCTCCTTGTTCTCTCACTCATACAGAATCTTGCAGTCTGCCTTCCAGTCTGCAGCCATTTTCTCTCACATTTTCTCCTGTGTGTGTGTGTCACTTGGCTTTCGTTAAGTGATCTGTTGTCCTTTTCCTCCTGACCTTTTTTCACTCTGGTACATGTGTGCTGCTTTTTATTTCCACGTCATTATTTATGATGCTCCCATTTCCTAGATAGTTCATGTTCTTCCCTTCCATTTAAATTTTATTATTTCTCAAAGTCAACATTAAAACTTTTAATTCTGAAATCTTCTTTGCCCTGGACTATCTCTCAATGTGAACTCTACTTCCCTGGGTGTTTCATCTACATTATCTGTCTCACAGATTATCCTTCATAAAAGGGATCTGGGTTTTTTCCATTTCTCTCTACTCCTATTTGCTGGTGATAGAACAACAAACACTTACTGAGTGCTAACTGTGGGCCAGGCTTTCAATGTAGTAGCTTATTTAACTCTCTCAACAATCTTATGAGGTAGATTTTTGTTCTTTATTTTACTTTTTAGTGGCCTGGTGCCTGAAATTTGTGCACATTAAAAGGTGATTAATTAAAGGAAACATTTTAATATTGCTATTTACCCTTTCTCTATAATAGAAGTATCAGAGATGAAAGAAAATTAGTAAAATGTATATGAAAATATTCCTCCTGTCAGAGTCTGGGGCATGCCGTGGGACCTGGAGTCAAGTCTCCACCCACTTGCAGTGCCTCAAAATTGTTCACAACCCAGACCCAACCCGCCCCATCCTCTCTGGGTGAGATCCAGACCCAGCTGGCCCCACCCTTTTCAATCCCCACTGGGTCAGGGGCATAGCCTAGATCCCCCAGCCTGGCACCGGGCAGGGGGGCCACAGCCTCAGGTTCCCCAGCCTGGGGTGGGGGGAGCATCCTGAGGTCCCCCAGCCTGGTCCCAGGGCAGGGATGTGGCCTGATGTCCCCTGTCAAGCCTCACCAGATGGGTGGCACGGCCTGAGTTCCCCCTTCAAGCCCTGCTGGGCGAGGGGCACAGCCTGTGGTTTCCTGGCCTGGTGCTGGGTGCGGCCTGAGGTTCCCTGATGCTGGGGTGGGGGGTTCCCCTGGCCAGGGTGGTGGGAGCAGTCTGAGGTCCCCTGGCCCAACACTGGCCGGGGCAGGGCACAGCCTCAGGTCTTCCAGCCTGGCGCCGGGGTGGGGGGGTAAGGGCATGACCTGAGGTCATCCAGCCCCGCTGGGGTGGGGAGAGTGGCCTGAGATTCCCTGTCAAGCCCCACCGGGCAGAGTGGGGTGCAGCCTCAGGTCCCTGCTCCAGCCCAGTGCCACACAGCCTCAGGTCCTGCTGATTGCTTCTTAAGGCTTTTTACAAGAGCGTGACCTCCGCTGTGGTGCAGCCATCTTGTTACGGAATCTCTGCTTCAGTTGTGGGCACAGCCATTTTTGTTATGGCATAATGATCAATTTGCATATCCCCTCTTTATTAGATAGGATGAGGAAGCTGAGTCACTGAGAGGTTAAATATCTTGCTCAGGGTAGCAGAGCAGGGATATGAGCACAGTCTAGCCCCAGCACACAAACTAGTTACTCACTTCACTGAGTTGCCTAGTGTGCTTAAAGAGAATTGTTATCACATATTTATTTATATTTAGAATATGTGTTAACTTGGCTGTGTCGCTATGGCAGGTCTTTATGCTATTAACACATTAACCCCTCGTTAAATCCTTTTAAAAGGTCATTGATTCAGTTTTATGGAGCTGATAAATCCCACTTAGAACTTTCTAGCAAATCACTGATACAACCAGTATTAAAAGTTAATATTCCCTAAATCATAGTTATCAGGGAAAAAGCACACTTCCAACTAAGCTTCAGACCACCAGGCTCTCATTTATGAACAGGTTCATTTAAGTTGACTGTGTAGAACTTCCTTTCTGGAGGAGAATACATTTCATTCAATTTGGTGTTTAAGTTCTTAGGGCAGTCACAGTAAAATATTTGCTTTAGAAATACAGTGGTGGTTTGCTACTTGGACTAAAGGAGCAAAGTGATATTTGTTTACTGACACTCATCGGCTTCATGTGGGGCACTGTGAAATGAGTTTCTCTGTTAAATTCAGAGTTCCTTATGGGGCCCTCAGGAGCACAGCCACATTCTGAAGCCAGGGACCCAAGAGCTTCCTTGCCTTCCCTCTTTCTTCCCACATCCCTGCTGACCACCTGAGTGGAGGAGTTCTTTGGCCCTACACCACATGCAGTGTACCCTGGTGAACTGCAAGGTAGGCTTACTGGCTAGGGATGGCCAAGGATTGGGAGCTCCCAAGGTTAAGGAATTCTAGAAATAAAATAAAGGTTTTCTAGTCACATCTTACCACCACCCCCCCCAATACCAGATAATACCTGTTTGCTTCTTTTCCCACCGTTGTTACACTTTGCTTTGCTTTGTTCTGTGTGTGCACGTGTGTGTGTGTGTGTGTGTGTGTGTGTGTGTGTGTGTAAACTATTACACAGACACAGAAATATAGATTAAAATACTCAGTTATCATGGCCAGGTGGCTCATTTGGTTGGAGTGGAGTGTCGTCATGTAAGCCAAAAGGTGGCAGGTTCGATTCCTGGTCAGGGCACTTAATTAGGTTGTGGGTTCCATCCCTGGTTGGGGCGTGTACAGAAGGCAGTTAATTGATGTTTATCTCTTTTTCTCCTTCCCTTTCTCCCTTCCTCTCTTGTTCTTCTTTCTAAACATATCCGTGGGCTAGGGTTAAAAAAAATTTCCTGGTAAGTGTGATAATTGCAGAGATAACTCTGTTCTTAGGAGATAAGTAGTGAAGAATTTAAAATGAAGTGTTGTGATGCCTACAGCTAACACTCAATTCTAAAATGGGTGGGGAGGAGAAGAGAAGGGAATGATAATGTCAGTGTGTTGACAATTGGTGAATCTAGATGAAAGGTAAGTAAGTGTTCATTGAGTGTTTTACTTGTAGATTTAAATTTCTTTCAAAATAGAAGTTGGGAAAAATTAAATTTCATTTTTCTATGTCAGGAAATAGCAAAGAGTTAGATCCAACTCTTTATGCATTATCCCACTGTGCTGTATTAAGCAGAGTTGCTACTAAAACAGATGATAAAACTGTAACCATGATTGTTTTTTAAAATATTGTTTAAACTGATTTGTTTGAGTTTAGACATTTTAATCATACTGGTATAGCAAATGTCTGTGGGTTGGCTCTCCAAGTGAAACATACATTAATAATAATTTTGTGCTAATTGTTGCGTTCTAGGAAAATAAAATTGGATTTTTACAAAACTATTGATTAGATTTGCAGAACTCTTTTTCTATATCATATTAAAAAGGTGAGCAAAGTAATTTATAGAAGTTATACTCCATGTAATCTAGTTTCATAAAACTTAGGCCAAATGTTTTTATTTTTTGTTTTTTTATTGAAAGCATTTCTGGTGCTTGGATACTAATGTTTTTATTTCACATAAAAGGATATAAGACCCATTGTTCTCATAGCAGGTGTCATTTTTTTCAAATTTTAGTTATTTTAACCAAGCACATAGGAAGTTAAATTCCAGGAGTCATGCAATGAATTTATAATACTTAGTAGACTCACAGTTACTGACTCTGTTTCTTCTCCTGAACATTAATATGTGATTTCTCATTAAAACAACATAGAAAAACATCTAACAATAACAAAAATCTTCTAACAGCCAGAGGAAGAACCGAGCTTCTAAAGATCAATCTTCGTGAGGTTGAATTGGATCCTGATATTCAACTGGAAGATATAGCAGAGAAGATAGAGGGCTATTCTGGTGCTGACATAACTAATGTTTGCAGGTATTTTTTAAATGATCTGTGACCTTAGAGATTAGTTATATATTTGGCAGGAGGACTGGTCTCAGAGATAGTGTAGTTATTAGTCCTTGGCATGAAAACAGCCACCCATTTCCTTGAAATGATCTCTCAATTTTTCTTGTTTTTTTTCTTGTTTTTGTTTGTTTGTTTGTTTTTTCCTCTCTACATAATTTCATTGTTCATTGTTAGATGAATAATTACATAACACTATGGTCACCTTTTCTATCCTGTGATTTTTAAGAAATTGTTGTCTCTATCTTTATAATGACATTGATGACCTAATTATGACTTCCACAACCTAAGGTTAATTTAGCCCTAAATTGGAGCCTAATTGCATCAACGTGTAAAATCACATCCCTTAATTTTGGTTGGCATTATTTTGACATTTGCAGATGATTAAAGTTGACCAATTAAAGCTGTGAAAGATACATATATATTAAAATTTCCTTTTAATTTAGTGATATTATAATTTTTAGATAATCTACCTCACTCAATGAAGAGGATTTTTGTTCTTTTCTTATTTTTCTAATGGTACTTAATTTGACTTCAGTGGCCTTTCTTTTTTTTCTTTTTTCTTTTTTTAAAATATATATGTTTTATTGATTTTTTACAGAGAGGAAGGGAAAGAGAGAGAGAGCTAGAAACGTCGATGAGAGAGAAACATTGGCCAGCTGCCTCCTGCACACCCCCTACCGGGGATGTGCCCACAACCAATGTACATGCCCTTGACTGGAATCGAACCTGGGACCTTTCAGTCCGCAGACCGATGCTCTACCACTGAGCCAAACCAGTTTCAGCATCAGTGGCCTTTCTTTAAAACTACAACATCCATGTTTCTGACTTTTTCTACCAGTATTTTTCCTGTGTGCATCTAAGTTTAGTGGCACATGGTAAACTCATAGTAGTTTCTATTATCACTATAGTAAAGTATGTAAGAATCTGAAGTTTTGGTTGGCTTGGCAACCTAATAGCTTTCTCATGAGCACTAATTGTCCATTTTTTTTCTAAACCTTCATAGTGATTTACAAGTCTTCAAAGTGGCACTGAAAATAGGATCTGGAGAAGTCAGATTTGCAAATAAATTCATGTTCTAAAGAGAGGTTCCTGGCTTTACATCCATTAATTAGATTGTAAACAAACTTGTATAGATTTGAATTATTCCCTCTAATACTAGAGGCCCAGTGCATGAAATTTGTGCACGGGGTGGGGGTGGGGGTGGTCTCCTCAGCTTAGCCTGCACCCTCTCCAATCCAGGAGAATCTGGGGATGTCCAACTGATGGTTTAGGCTCGATCCCAGGGATCAGGCCTAAACCCGCAGTTGGACATCCCTCTCACAATCTGGGACCACTGGCTCCTAACTGCTTACCTGTCTGCCTGCCTGATTGCCCCTAACTCCCCCACTGCCAGCCTGCTCACCCCTAACTGCCTCTGCCTGCTGGCCTGATCATCCCTAACTTTCCCCCCACTGGCTTGGTTACCCCCCAATTGCCCCCCACCCTTACCAGCCTGGTTGTCCCCAACATCCCCATTCCTGCCAGCCTGGTTACTCCTAACTGCCCCCCCCCCAAGCCGGTAGCCCTTAACTGACCCCTCTGCCATCCTGGTTGCCCCAACTGATCCCCTCTGCTGGCCTGGTCACCCCTAACTGCCCCCAGCCCCCACCAACCTGGTCGCCCTTTATTGCTCCTCCCTGCCAGCCTGGTCACCCCCAACTGAGCCCCCTGTTGGCCTGGTTGCCCCTAACTTCCCCTTCCTGCCAGCCTAGTCACCCCTTACTGCCCCCACTGTTGGCCTGGTTGCCCCTAACTGACTCCCTGCTGGCCTGGTCGCCCCCAGCTGCCCCCTGTTAACCTAGTTGCTCCCAACTGCCCACCCTACTGGCCTGGTCACCCCTCACTGCCCCACCCTGCTGGCCTGGTTGTTGCCAACTTCTCCCCTGCCAGCCTGCTTTTCCCTCACTGCCCCTCTCTGCCAGCCTGGTTGCCCCTCACTGCCCTTCCTACCTGCCTGGTTGCCCATGTAGCCTGCTGTTCAGTCATTTGGTCATCCCTCACTAACTCCCCTGCTGGCCTCATCGCCCTATGCAGCCTGCTGTTGGGTTGTTACTATGAGGGTATTCTGACCAATTTGCATGTTACCATTTTATTAGTATAGATTATCTGAGTCCAGTATGGACTTTTAGGGTTCATTAACAATATATTTTATGTTTAAGTCCTTTCCATTCTTTTTTAACCTTTCCTGAACTATCAAGATGTCTCTGAGGTAGAAAATTCTACACAGCATCATAAAATCATATGACATGATCTTTTGAATGTTTTCCCTTAACTTTGTTACAAATGGAATTGTTTGTTGCATTTGCACTAATAAATATTCACTGACTTTGGTACATTTTTAGGGATGCATCCTTAATGGCAATGAGACGGCGCATCAATGGCTTAAGTCCAGAAGAGATCCGTGCACTTTCTAAGGAGGAGCTTCAGATGCCTGTTACCAAAGGAGACTTTGAGTTGGCTCTTAAAAAAATTGCCAAGTCTGTCTCTGCTGCAGACTTGGAGAAGTATGAAAAATGGATGGTTGAATTTGGATCTGCTTGAATTTCTGTCGGCTCTTCCATTTCTGGTATTTTTGTTTATAAAATGTGAAGAAATTTCTTCATTTAAAAAGAATAGGTTTGGAATTTTTCATTGGAGAGATTTTCACTTAAAGGCAAATAATCTAAAACCACAGAGTATAAATGTAGCTGAAAATTGAGAAAAGCTTACGTAAAGAGCCTGATGCATTAATATTGCACCCGTCAAGCAGGGTATCAGGGCGGCAGAAGAGAGGGATCAGCGTGCTATTGTGGAAACTTGTTTACAAAATATTTAGAAGGACCTCTGTTTCTCACTTGAATTCGTTGTCTTTTCAAAAAACAAAAACAAAACATTTTAATCAATTTTTAGAGAGAAAGAAAGGGAGAGGGATAGAGAGACAGAAACATTGATGAGAGAAAAACATTATTGATTGGCTGCCATCTGCACACCCCCTACTGGGGATCAAGTCCACAACCTGGGCATGTGCCCTGACCAGGAATAGAACTGTGACCTATTAGTTTGTGGGTCGATACTCAACCATTGAGCCACACTAGCTGGGCAGTTGTCTTTTTTCTTTGTGTGTGTGTGTTTCTATTCTTTTCTCTAAACATGAAGGACCTACATATGTTGACTTTTAACATTAAAACTGACTTTGTATCAGATTCATTATTTGTTGTTAAGAATGATAGTTTTGGATTAAATAATGAATTTGTTAGTTAAACCTCTAGAATTCAGGTACTCACTGTTGGAGTCTATCATATGGTTTGAACTTTTACCCTTCCTTCCCCCACCATTTTTGTTTTTCCTATTAGCTATTTAGTCATTTGTTGAGCTCCATGCAAGGATATCCTAATGCTTTGTGGTTTTTGAACCATTTTACCAGGTTGTTTCTCTGGTCTTTAGTATTTTTTGCTGATGCTTCTCAGATTTCATATTGAAAGGATGGGGAGAATATTATGATACAATGTACTTCTTCATTCTAGACTTTTCCGTTTTCACTTTTCTTTCAATGTAGTCAAACAGGTAAACTCATTATTTTTTTCAGGTCCTACACTGTTTGATTTTTGTTGAATTTGACTTTTGTATTCTGAACAAGACCACTATCTTGAGCTAATACAAAACAAACAAAACAAAATCTATAGTTTTACAGAGAGCTTAATAAAATAACTTCATACATAATGAAGGGTGTTTATTTGAAAAATTTTAAATTGTTCTTTGTCAAGGTTGAGAACACATGATAAGAAGATTAAGATGGAAACTTTGTCATGCTCATTCAGCTTAGCAGGAATTAGACAGAAGGAGGCCAGAAAAAGTAGATGCATATATCTAATCATCAGTGGATTGAGTTTCCTGGTTCAAAATTAAAATTTTTAAAAATTGCATTTATCCTGTTTTGATTGGGCAATCTATGCTTTGATGATCAAGCTTTTAAAATTCGTATTTGTTAATATTCCGAGTTCTCAATTTTGGAGAGCACCTGCTGATTTAAAATTAAAAATAATATAACTCATTAGACACTTTTAAAAAAACCTAAGTATCTTGAATTTTTTTTCCTACTAAGAACTATTTAATTTTGAGTTAAGTCTGACACTGAACTCCAGTATTCATATAATGCTGTAAGTTACCCCCCTTTTCTCTGAGGCACAGATTATAGGAGTTAAAATAATTTATTAAGATTCTAAGATTTTAAAATCATGATTTTATTTTAGTTGAATTCATTCATCTTAAAAATTGAGATGAGAGAAGTTTCCTTTTATTCATTTTTTCCTGCCCATTTTTTATTTTTAAACCATTCTTATTTTACAATTATAGTTGACATGCAATATTATATTAGTTTCATGTGTATACCCCAGTGATTAGACATTATATGACTTACTAAGTGATCATCCTGATAAATCTTGTATCCATCAGACACCATACATAGTAATTAGAATATTATTGATTGTATTCCCTATGTTGTACATAACTATTCTGTAATTACCAATCTGTATTTCTTAATCCCTTCATCATTTTCACCTATCACTTAATCCCCTTCCCATTTTGTGACCATCAGATTATTTTCTGTATCTATGAGTCTCTTTCTGTTCTGCTTGTTTGTTTATTTTGTTTTTTAGATTTGGTTGTTGATAAGTATTTCTTGCCATTTTATTGTTCACATTTCTGGTCTTTTTTTCTTTTTCTCCTTCTTCAAACCCTTTAAAATTTAATGTAATACTGGTTTGATGGTGGTGAACTTCTTTAGCTTTTTCTAAGGAAGCTCTTTCTATGTCCTTCAATTCTAATTGACAGCTTTGCTGGGTAGAGTGTTCTTGGTTGTAGATTCTTGCTTCTCAGATGGGTACAAGATTATCACTTTGAATATTTCTTACCACTCCCTTTTGGCTTAAAATGTTTCTGTTGATAAATCAGTTGACAGTCTTAAGGGAGTTCCCTTGTAGGTAACTAACTGTTTTTCTCTTGCTGCTTTTAAGTTTCTCTCTTTATCTTGATCCTTTGACATTTTAATTATGATGTTGTGTTTATGTGGGTCTCTTTGGATTCATCTTGTTTGCAACTCTCTGTGCTTCCTGGACTTGTAAGTCTATTTCCTTCACCAGGTTAGAAAAGTTTTCTGTCATTAATAGATTTTCAATCTTTCTTTCTCTCTTCTCCTTCTAGCACCCTCATGATGTGAATGTTGTTATGCTTGAAGTTGTCCTAAAGGCTCTTTACACTATCCGCATATTTTTGGAATCTTTTTTCTTTTTATTATTCTGATTGGATGTTTTCTTTTGCTTCCTTATATTCCAAATTGTTGATTTGATTCTCAGAATCCTCTACTATACTGTTGAATCCCTATAAATTAATCTTTATTTCAGTTAGTCTATCCTTGATTTCTGACTAGTTCTTTATTGTGGTTTCCATGTCCTTTTATATGCTGCTGAATTTCTCACTAAGTTTATCTACTTTTCCCCTAAGATCATTGAGCATCCTTAGAAACAGTGTTTTGAACTCTACATCTAGTAGATTTCTAGTCTCCATTTTGTTTAGTTCTTTTTTTGGAGTTTGTTCTGTTATTTAACATTTCTTTTATTTTTAATTAAATAAATAATCCCACTAATATAATCTTTCGAATTATTGCCATCCAGTAACATTTTTTCCCCCTGATGTCCTAAGGGCAATCATTAAAACATTAGTGTTTTGATTGCTAGAACTTGTTTGTATACTTTAGTTGATTAGTTGCAGCATTTTCTAGGTTTTATGTTACTTGTCTTGGCATGCATTTCATTTAAAAAAAAAAAATCTTCATGGATAATGATATGGTGATTGTAATTTTTAAAAATTATTAGTTAAGCAGTGTTTGGAAACTCCAACTTCCTGGAAACTTAACCTTTTCCAAGTTAAGTGAATCAGGTGTGCTCTATTATTTCCTTTGTTTCTCATTTTGCTCCATCATTGCATGGTGAATACTCTGTATTATTTTCAACCCCTGGAACCATCCTGATGAGACCCTACCCTGCAGGTGTTTTATCTGGCCTTGGCAGTACATTGTGTGTACATCATCTTTAGTGCCAGACAGAATGCTGCCTTACTAAGAATGAGAGCATTATTGTGTTTTGCTGTGTTACCAAATTAGAAAGGTTTGGTTCTTCTAATTCATCTGAACCATGAGTATTTTGGGTTTTGCATCACAGTGTTGTTAGGACTCAGCTGTGCCATTCTGTCTTGCAAACAACTGATCAAATAGTAGTTGTGTTCACCAGATTTGCTTTGGGTGTTTACTGTGTATAAGAACCTGCGTAGGGGCTCTGTGCTTACATTGTTGGACCAGGCAGCATAGATTGTATTGGGCACTTCCCATAACTACCGTACACAGTGTAGTGTTTGGCTCCAACTAATTAAACTAATTCACATAAAAAATGGAGAGGTACAGTCATCTGGGTGTGCTTTGGAAAGATAACAAGTAAAAGATTTTCTTTTTTTCTCTCTGTAAATCTGTTTTAAAGTTAGAACTGATATCGATTTATTAGAACAATACAATTTATAGACCTGGCTATATTTATTAGTCATTTTTGTCATTTCCCAAACTACATATTTATTGTGAACATGCACACATGTAACTATGGTAGACATGTAAACATGTTATGTGGTGTTTGTAAACATTTGCTGTCATAATTTTTTCATTTTTTGAAGAAATTAATATTGATAAAATACAACAAACAAGCAACTCTTTAATGGTAGACTGAAACCCTCTAGTAATGCAAGTAAATAACAGATAATGACATCACAGACTTCATCTTCTGGTCAGTAGCATAATAGGTATTGCAGAGTAACCAGACCCACCTGGGCATGGACTCCATCTCTAGAAATACCAGGACAGCTTGGTAGAGGACACACATGTGGTTTAGCTGCATAATGAAGGGCTTTTTCTGAGATCCTGAGATTGTAATTTTATGCTGCAATATTTGACTGTAAAAAAAAAAATAGGCTGGCCGAAACTGGTTTGGCTCAGTGGTAGAGCGTCTGTCTGTGGACTGAAAGGTCCCGGGTTCGATTCCGGTCAAGGGCATTACCTTGGTTGCGGGCACATCCCCGGTGGGGAATGTGCAAGAGGCAGCTAGTTGATGTTTCTCTCTCATCGACGTTTCTAGCTCTCAATCTCTCTCCCTTCCTCTCTGTAAAAAAATCAATAAAATATATATTTTAAAAAAAATAGGCTGGTCCTGGCCAGGTGGCTCAGTTGGTAGGAACAATGTTCTGTACGCCAAAAATATTGCAGATTGGATTCCTGGTCAAGGTACATATCTAGGCTGTGGGTTTGATCCCTGGTCAACGTTCATTTGGGGGACAACCAATTGATTTTTCTTTCTCACATTGATGTTTCTCTATTTCCCTCTCCCTCTCACTTTCCCATTTCCTCTATCTCTAAAAACAAACAAACAAAAAAACAAAACAAAACAAAAAAAACACCCATATTTTTGGATGAGGATTAAAAAAAAGAGTAGGCTAAAATCACTAATTACTCAAAAAATGAGCAGTCAAGTGTCTGGTGAATCTACTATGAACAAACATACAAATACCTCAGGAAAAATGTGTGTGTACAGC